GTTTTAGAAGTTTCTCCACATGGTCCCTATGAGAATTAAAGTGGCCCACAAAACACCAACTCAACATTTGCTAGCACTTGGAAACCAACAATGCTAATTCACTATTCCATTCCCCAATCTAGCAGATGTGTCAGTCTCTAAATTAAATAATAGGTGTTTTTCATGCTAAACATCTACCCAGCATGCACCTTGGAGATCTTTCTCCCCATTACACATTCTCGCTCTGTCATTGATGTGTATAATATTCACATGCTGACCAGATTCCAAAGATACGCAGCCCTTGTGAAATTGAGGCTTGAGTCCACCTCTTAGCTCCACCCTCCTCTAGAAATAACAGGGCTCAGTGAAGAAGCTTCTGGTGGCCTTGGGGGCATCTATCCTGCACAGTAGTCATGTCTTTGAGGCAGCTACAGGTCAAAAAATGGTGCTGATGTGAATGGATGATTCTTTCGAGACATTTGATGATCTCATAGTCAGGAAGAGCTAGAGTGCTCACGTTCAAGCCCAGCATCCGGGAGACCACTTCCTTGAAGTCCACCAGCTGAAACAGCAAACAGAAACACATTCACAGGGAGGGCAAGTGTACCAGCTCCTGCTGGGGCAGATGCAGCAACAACAGATTCTGGAAAATACAGGTTTTCATGAGGTGGGCAGATTGACCTACCCACTTTGGCCTTTTTTTCTCACCTACAAGTGGATTTGCCTGTTAAATTACTTCTGAAATCTCCTCAAGAATCAACCTTCAGCAGCGTCATAAATACCCATACAGTTCTAATGCGCCAACTGATGGTAAACTGGATACTAAGTCAAGACCCTCTGTTAAGCAAGCATTGATAAGGTTCTGACTTCACTAGGACCCAATTTCTCATTGCCATAGGTATATTAACCAAATGTGTGCCTGTCTGAAATTCAAAACAAATGATGCCCTGATTGTGCATACGCTCTGTATACTAGAAAGTACTATACACCTGTTGACATGGTTGCATCGGTGATGACAACCATTTATGCAATTTTACCAGGGCAGTGAACTTCTTAAACAAAAGGAAGAACAAATGGCAAAAAGGAAAGAGCAGAGGAAATCTAAATTACTTTCAAATCACAGAACAGATTACGATGTGACAAACCAGAGCTTAACTGGTCTGGGACCACGATTTGTTCATCCAGAGAGAAAAGTTGGGTGTAGGAACGCATCCTTGTGATTCTAGCATGCTGGCAGCTGAAAGCAGGAAGACTGCAAGTTCAAGCCCAACCTGGGAAACTTAGCAACTTAGTGAAATCCTTTTGCAAAATAAATGGAGTACAGAGGGCTAGGAATGTAGCTCAGCACACAGGTTCTAGGGTCCATCCCTAGCTCCACCAAGAGTGAGCAGGGGAAGGGGAACCTGGGGAAGGGATTGACATAGGCTCTAGAGCCCTTCAAGTTCTCCTAGCCTGGTTTCTGTGGTTCTAAGGCCAAGTCAGGAAAGACCCTTCCACATAGAAAAGGTATGATCCAATGTGAGATGCAGTTCCTCTAAAGAACACCAGCCAGACACGCCCCTCCTCAGCTCATTCCCTCCCAGACACCCTCCCAGACAGAGTTCAACTTGGGAAACGCAATGTTCTCTCTCCTTGCTTTGGCTGCGATGTTCATGCCCTCCCCTGCCCTTCACATTACAATGTGATGGTATCAGGTGGAGGGGCTTTGGGAGTTAATTATGTTTACCTGGGGTAGTGTTGGTGTAACCCCCATTATGGGCTCAGAAGCCTTCTAAGGAGGACCCAAGAGCTGTCTTGATCCTTCCCGAGGACTCAGCAAGTAGCCATCGTCTCTGGACCAGATGCACAATCTGCCGGCACCTTAATCTTGGACCTTCCAGCCTCCAGAACTCTGAGAAATACTTATCTTGTTTGTAAGCCTCCTGATTTATGATCTTTTATTATAGCACCTAAACAGGCCAAGACATCATAGTCTCCCAGATGAAAAAGTCTCCTTCAAACTTTCCCATCCTTTTGAACGAGGTCAAAGATCTCAGTTCCTGAGATGTTTCCTTTTTGGGAACATTCGCTCATATAGTTTGGCTTTCCCCAACTCTGCCTGACACATGAGCCAAAGTAGGGGCAGCCAAGAAGGGGAAAGAAGTCCCAGAACCAGAGACCACTCACTACCCTTTGAGCTACAGCAAGAGTGACACATGAAAGCCCAAGGCACCGGGGTCAGGCTGCCCGGGACATATTTCTTTATGCCTGACCTGATGTGTTCACCAGATAAAATGCTCCTCCTTGCAACTGGCCAATTAATACTTTTTTATGGCTTACATCTGTGCCTGGTTGACCATGAGTCTGGGTGACACTGGGAGATGGGAGACTGTTTCCTGCAACTGATCTTTCCCAGAGATAAGGTTCCCCCTCCCCCACACCAGGCTCAAGCCCTGCTTAACTTGAAAAGATCTGGGATGATGCAAACTCCAGAGACAATCACCAAACATCGTAAAAACCTCGCTGCCACCACCAGGCCCTGGTTTTTCACTACCTTGATTTTAAAAGAAAAGAAATCTTTTTCTTGCAATCTGTGCCATGCAGCCCTGAACTGCTTTTCTTAGCAGGGTAAATCATCATGGTTAATTCCAAAATGATTGGATAGATGGAAGTGGTATAGAGAGCTTTACAGATTGTACTGGAAAGAAACATGTCAATGATGCTCTTTGGGGCCGCATCAATACTAAAACTGGAACAACTTGTAGAATATGAACGCCGCCCTTGTGCAAGGGTGATGAGCGGAGTAATGAAAGCATTTGGGTTTAATTACAGAGCTTTGGAACTGTCCTGTTGTTTCAGAAACACGATTTCACCACCACATTTGTACCTACTTGTTTTTCTCTCTTCTCTGCATCTTCCAGAGACTTTTTTAGCGTCTTCATTTCGCTGGCCACCACTTCTATCACGCTTCTCGCCCTCTCCTTCTCCTCCTTAGCCTCGTGCTCCACTGTCCCCAGCTCAGACTTGGCAGACATCAGCTTTTTCTCAGCTTTCTCCTTCATCTTCTCCAGCTTGTCTCTGGATCTGTTTAGGTCTTCAATGGCTTTGGTCTGTTCCAAAGTTTTAATCTAAGAAGTTAGGGGAAGGCAGATGATTTCTTCTGTATTTATTTAGGACAATCGTATAAACACAACAAATCAGAAATCAATGGAATTCACTCAACATCTTTATGACTAAAAGGATGCAATTTTAAACAATATAAAATAAAATAAAATGAAATAAAAACAATGGAATTTATCCCAACAACTTCAAAGACTGCTAAACATAATAAGCTGAATGGGTACCACTTAACACATTTATAGTTCATAAATGACACTTTGGAGTACTCTTATCTGAAAAATCAATAAGCTCTTAGATGGCATGATTGTTGAGTGAGATTAAAATAAAGCCCCCAGGTAATTTATAATTTCTTCCCTACCAGTTGGTCATTGCCCCTTGTGCATAAATACTAGGAAGAACAAAATGTCCCCTTAAGAAATCCACAGTGAAGACCCACCTAAATTTCCTCAGCAAGTGTTCACCATTGCTGTGACAAAAACCTACAGCAGAATTACTCAGAGGTGTCTTCTGACTTCACCCCCAAGTACAGGAAGGAGAAGGTGACCACCACAACTATGATAAGCAAAGGGGAGGAGGCTGGCTCCCACTGAGAAATTATCCCCAGGAATGTGAGGCAGATTTTCTTTAGTACCGTATTATTTAAGATTATACTAAATCCTAGACCAGGCCCGGTGAATGCGTGGGACAGCTTCCGGCTACCCTGCGCCTGCATAAACTACTGGTCCCAGCCCAGGTGCAGGATGGGTGAGACCCTCTTTCATCCCCTTAGGACGCCCCCCACCACTCCATAGTACCCCCCACCCCACCCACCAAGTAGGAATTTTTGTCGGATTCCGGGAACCCCCAGATCCAGTCCTAGCCCAGGCCCAGTGAGTGTGTGGGAGCGCTGCCTCACCCCCCTACTCCACCTTGTCCCCTGCAGACTCAGCTCAGGCCTGGCATAGACGCCGGGGGTGAAACCCTGTAGCTTCAAACGCTGCAGAGAGTGTACTGGACAAAACCACCCAGCTAGTCCAGATGCAGAACATCTTGCCAGAGAAGCACAGCAGGTTCACCCCCAAAGGCAGCAGCAGGAAGGAGCTGAGCACAGCAACCAGACCTAAGCCAGGCACAGCTGAATAAACCCAAAATTTGTGGATCTGCACCTGAACTTCAGTATGTGCTAAGGTTATAACAGCACCAAAGATCTACAACAAAGGTCAGAAGACAGTGCTACACAAAATGACAATGAGAAACAGCAAAATGCAATCTGAGAACCCAAGCCCACCCATAACAAGTACAGAGGACACTAACACAGAACAAAGTGGGAATCACACAACTGAAATCAATGAATCAATGGCTTCTGAAATAAAGAAACATCTGCAGAAAGGTATAGAGGAACTCAGATTGGAAATGAAAAAAAGAGGGGGCCAGGGAGATGACTCAGTGGAATAAGTGCTTCCCTGGCAAGCACAAGGGTCAGAGTTCAATCCCTGATTCTGCCAAAAAAAAAACAAAGAAAAGAAAAAAAAACTGCTAGGAAATGAAAAAAGAAACCCCTGAATTAATAACATCTGCAGTATAGAATCAAATGCAGAAACATATGGAGGAAAACCAATGCCCACCCAGAACAAGAGCAGAGGACACTAGCTCAGCTCAAATGTATGAATTAATAGCGTCGATAGTAAATAAGCAACAGCAGAAACTCATAGAGGAATTCAGAGCAGAATTCTTTTCTACTAGCTCAGCTCAAATGTACAAATTAATAGCATCAATAGTAAATAAGCAACAGCAGAAAGTTATACAGGAACTCAGAGCAGAACTTTCTGAAATAAGAAAAGAATTCTTGGAACTCATAGCATCTCAGGTAAAGAATCCACTACAGAAACATAGGAGGAAACCCAATCTGAAAAAAACACTGCAGTAAAAGACGTTACAACTGCTTCTAAAGAAGACATTGATAAAAAAAAAAAAATAGATGGAATTAGAAAAATGAAGGATTCCTTGAATGAGCAATACAGGAAAGAAATAGATAGCATGAAGCAGAGTCAAAGATATATAGAGGAATTTAAAAACTTAATCACATTTCACAGAGAGCACATTGGTCAAGCAATGGCCGTGACTTATCCACATGGCTGACACTGACAAAGGTTCTACAATCTGAGGTACAGGATCTCAGGATAAATCCTGAGGGGATTTCACTGACCTTCTCAGACCCAAAAGCT